TTTAATGGCTTTGGTTATGTTAGCTGCATTGTCACTAACACAGCAAGCCACTTTATTTTCAATGTCCCACTCTTTTGCCACTCTTAGCAGTTCCTCTGCCAAGTTTTCTGAAGTGTGTCTGTCGCTAAACTCAAAACAGTCCAGAAGACAGGCCACCGTGTTATAATTTTCTATAAAGTGACATGTAACAGACATGAAAGAGGTGGTGGTTCTTGATGTCCAGCAATCAGTGGTAAGGCAAACTGCAGTAGCTTCTTTAACCCTGGCCTGCAGTGAAGCACGTTCTCTATCATACAGTCTCGGAATTATTTTTTGAGAGAGTGTTTTCCTGCTTGGAGGAACATACATTGGATTGAGAGCCTGTGTGAAGCTTCGGAATCCCTTGTCCTCCACAATGGAAAATGGTTGGAAATCACTTGCGATCATTTTGGCCAATTCTTCATCCACTATGTTCTGTCTAACTGGGGTCATTGCCTATGATATAAATTGGCTTATTGAGCTCTGTGTAGCTATTGGTTTTTGAGTACCTGATGCATGGGGGGTAGATCCTGTAGCTGCAGCAACAACAGGTGGAGTAGACGCACTGGCAGAAGCAGGCAGTCTGGCCTGCCTTTTTTCTTCCAACTGAACTGTTGGATGCACAGTTCTCAAGTGCCTGTGGAGGTTGTTTGTGGACCCTGCTCTATATGAGAGCTTCATGTTGCAAATTCTGCATTCTGCCTTTGTGTTTGCACAACTGTTAAAATGCAGCCAAATGCTGCTTCTTTTCCTCCGTTCACTCATCTTATTAGCGTGACGCAAACTGACACGTGTTCTCCTCTCCCTCTGTTCAGCAACCAGCACTGAGCACGCCACACACGCAGCCACTCCCTCCTTGTCTATCCTCACGTGATCACAGCATGCACGTGAGATTCAGTCACTGTATGTACACGGAGCGCCCGTGAAAAAAAAAGTAAAAAAATAATGGCTCGTTCGCGGGCGAGAGCCGGCTCCCGTCGTTCACTTAAAAGCCGGCTCGTTCACGACGGACACATCACTAGTGTCTTTACGATCATAAACAATGTGTTGGATGTGGAGCTAGGATAAGTAATAAGGGCGCTAGGAGTAATAGGTTAGCATTTTTCGCTCGGGGCTAATTCACTGTTAGCATTGTAGTTTATCTCCAGCTCATTCATCGCTCCTCCACTCATAACGGAAAATGTCGAACGTCCTACAGTCGGTGATGCAGACTTCTTCTCCCATCTCTTCCTTCACTTTCCCATAGTTGTGGCAGCACTTGTTTTCTCAGCTTGTATGCATGGTCTGGCAGTTTCCACATCTACACCAATTCTCAGCACCCTCGGCCTCTTCCTCAGATGGCGAACTTGAATCATCGCCATCAGCACTTTCATCAGTGATATCAGGTGACGTTTCCTTGTATTTCCTCTTCGACATCAGAGGCTCGTATAGATATGGTTGGATGTCGACAACATACTCCAGATATTGGGTGGCCTCCGACTCAGAATCAGACATGATAGACAAAACTAAGTTGTACTATCGGCGGAAGCCGCTGTGAGCCGCTGCGAGCATTTTTCGCTCGGGGCTAATTTAGAGGCTCACTCAGAGCGCCTGGACTTTATTTTTCTAAACCTCTCTAAAAAGGTCAAATTTAACTTGTTTTGCATCAATCTTGATACAGGGTACTTATTATATGTTATAGTTTGGATTCCTAAAGCTTTTAGTCTAGTCTACTCAGAATCAGACATGATAACGAAACTAAGTTGTACTATCGGCGGAAGCAGCTGTGAGCGATAAGCCAAGGTTTGTTTGTTTGGCCACTGTGACGTCACGCGACGCCATCTTGCGGAGGAGCGGCTGAGAAAATAAATCGTCGGACTTGGTGTTGGGGGTTGAACAAAATAAATATTGCGCATTGCCAGACGCATATTATCTCCGATTTTAATACTGCAATATCTTAGATAGTGTTGTAGCTATATGATTTCGATTTTACTGGCAATTATAAAAAAACCTTTGCATTTGATCTTTAAAGAGCACTTTGGTAATGAACACAAGATCGCCACTGCATACATGAACAAAGCATTTACCTGGACAATGATCAAAGCCGAAGATGGGAAAGCACTGCAAGCCTTCTCTTTGTTCCTAAGAGGTTGTTGCAATGCAATGGAACATCTCACCTATATGGATGAAATGAATGTTGTATCAAACATGAAACACATACTTCAGAAACTAGCCTACAAACTCCGAGACAAGTGGAGGAATAGAGCATGTCAGCTACAGGAAGAGCATGGGCATCGAGCTACATTTCCTGACCGTGTCAACTTTATAGAAAGGCAAGTGAAGATACTGTCAGATCCTCTGTTTGGAAGCATCCAGGACGATAACCCAACTGCAGCTATTGACAGCAGAGATGCTAATGGCCACCCTGCTGCTGCTGTCAATCGGATAGCCATTGTACGCCTAGAGGAGCTATTGGTCAAACAATACAATCATGATTTCAAGGAAAATACAAGCAAGGAAACAGAGGAAATGTCCAGAGAAGACAAACAATACCTGAATATTATGAATGACTCTGCAAACATGTCAGACGCCAAAGAGGATGGAGATGTTGTAGCAGACGCCAAAGAGGATGGAGATGTTGTAGCAGACGCCAAAGAGGATGGCGATGTTGTAGCAGACGCCAAAGAAGATGGCGATGTTGTAGCAGACGCCAAAGAGGATGGCGATGTTGTAGCAGACGCCGAAGGAGACAGTGATAGGGATGTTGAAGGCAAAACTGAGGCCCCCCAAGAAGAAGAAGATGAGGGTCGGGATTCAGGTGATTACTATGAAGAGGCAGAAGACAAGCCTTTTGAAAGCCAGCCGACTTCAGACTCCTGTCACAGCATGCCTGACTTCACAGCAGATGTCGAGTTACACCAATCTGACGCAGTGCCTGAGGAAGAAGCCAAGCCTGTGGCCGAGAAAGTGAAAATGTCAGATGGACACTACTGCCTAGACTTGCCATTCAGACAAGAAAATCCCAGCTTGCCCAACAACAAACACGTTACCGAGCAGCTCATCTGCGATTTTGCTGCTATGGTAGCAGGGCACCGGCTGAATCCAAGTGACAGACCTGAAGAAGTGACTGACTCATCAATACAGGAGCCCTATAAGGAGAGGCTTGGAATTGGGTGAAAATATAACCCACAGGTTCTCTCAGCGCTGAACGGGATGGCAACACGACTGCTTCAACCTAAGAATGACCCTTAAAATAAGGGAGAAGAAAATAAACTGAAAATTCTTTAAGAATTACATACCAACACATACACACCATTTGTATATCTCCTTTATTATTTATTGGTAATTGTTTTTGTTTTCATACTAAAGCCAATTAGGGGCCGGTGTGTAGGAGCTATTTTGTGGGTGTTGTTGGTGTGTCAGTTTATTTGAGTTATATGTATAGTGCAATATTATTTATGAACACTGGGTGGCGGGGTTTAGCTGCACCGGGTGTATATAAGGAGGTCATAGGTGACAGGAGAGGTGTGGACACAGGAGGAAGAGAGCATACCGATTCCACCAGCCCGGCAGATGCTCATCACAACAATTAGAAACTGTACAATTAACCCTGGTATGTAAAGCTGAATAAACAACATTATAAACTACAACAAAGGACCGGAAATCATCTGTTTGTATCTGCGTCTGGATCACTCTTCAGCCATTCTGTGAAAGTAACGGCAAAAATATCTAGGACATAGGAGAAGGAAATTGCCATTACACAACCATTTCCACTCTATTTTCCTAATCTTACTATCTGTTCTAGTGTTAAATGTCATCTAAACACAATTCATGTCTTCTAATGGTTTTACCGTATCCCTAAACATTGCTTTCACCCACTGTAATATGTTTACTCCAATTAACTCTTTCAGGAAACCATTTTCTTCTATAAATTGAAATACCTACATGTTTCAAGCACCACATATTTCACACACTATAAAAGAACGTCCTCATATTTTCTCCATCACTTTAATTATCTCTGTTATTTAGAACATAAGTAACTTTTGTGACTGGACATATCTGCAATGTCGCCACTATCTGCTGTGGAATTTTGTTGATAGAGTTTGTACGTACAAAGCTGTACTTGTGGGTTAGTAGCCTGTTTCTACTGTAATCATTTTCAATAATTGTGCTCAGGTCACCGGTCGGTTGTCCATAAACTTAACAGGGGGTGTTTCTGGTACAGACTAAAACATGGATCCAGTGTATTTGGAGATTCCCCTAATCTGTAAATCCCCATCACTTACATATCCTGATCACTTAAACCCAACTCATCATTTGATACAAGAACTGCATATAGGGGGGGTGAATCATCTTGATTGTAACCGCCTCACCTTTGGGAACGAGTATTTCTAACTCCTCCTCTTGTTGCTCAGCTGATCTTTTGGCTCTGGGGATAAGTGAAAGTCTCTGAAACACAGCTGGAGTTTTGTTAGTGATGTGGGCATTCTTTATGAGTGGACTAATGGATCCATGTCTTACTTGATATTGTACTCCCCATCCAACCAGAAAGGTGCCAAGTGTAATGAGCACAATCAACAATGCTATTCTGACTCTTATCCCTAGGGGACGCCACAATTGCTTTGGCTTTGTTCTTGACATCATCTCTATTTTATCCGTGGTTGTGTCAGTTACAGAATTTAACTGATGAGTACTAAAATAACGTATACAAAAATGTGACTCTTTTTCAGGTGTAAAACTAAAAATAGGTTTTCACTTTAGTGTACAATCTATAAAATCTATAGACAATTCGTCTTTTGAGCTGTTTCTATCTTTATCTTATTTCTATTTATTGTTTTATTCCAGCTCTGCCAAATCAGTCCTAACTCCCAATAATGTTCTGGAAGTTGCCAGTGAAGGGTGACAATGTGTGAGGTGGTGTCAATTTGCTCCTTTTTCTTTACCTTTCAACCGGAGCGCGTGTGAAGTTCGTTACAACTTCTCACTGTTCCGTCCATCGGGGATCAGCCCTCTTTTGTGAACTTTCACCCTCACCCAATCACCTGGCCGAACAGGAGTCTCTTCTGGTGTCTCGTCTGGTATCCCTGTAGCTTTCCTAGCCTGTGTAGACAAAACTTGGATAATATTACTCAGAGTTCTGACATATTCATCACTTCTATTCATCTAATATATAAAACTGGACCACTCCCTCCTTGAAGAAGGCCCAAGCTTCGGCATACCTCTTGTTGTTATGAGACCTATTGTTAACTACATGTTATTATTTATTAACTACAACGTCACTGAAATCAACATATCTGTTTAATCATGACACTCCCTCCTTTGATCATAAAATGCTCAATTAATATTGCAATGATTACCCTATTCTGAACAGGACATGTAAAACCCATAACGTTGCATTAAATACATATAACTTCTCCGTGTACCCATAAGGCGTATACAAATATCGTATGATGTATGGCTTTCTGATGGTTTAAATGCATATTCACTAAAAATCTGCCATTAGCACAAAAAATAGTTTACTTGTTTCAATAATGGCTTTTGTCCTGGTATTATGCATCATTGTTGCTGCGAAAAACAATACCCCTGGTGTCGCTAATGCGTCTCAATAATTCTAGGATTAGAGGATTGGTTGTTACTGCTGAATTAACATATGATAAAATAATATTTCTCCAAACTAGAGGGAAAATACGAACTATTCTCACAGAGGGTGACATGCATGAAGGGCTGGTGCCCCTCACTCAAAATGAGATATTGCCTTACACACTACACTATAAATCAGTAAAGTTACTCAAGAATAAATAAATAAAAACGGATTCTTGAAACTGTTGTAAAAACCCTACAACTTCTTCATCCAAGCTCTCAATCAGTGTTATGTTATTTAATCTGCAGCTCATTGCCTTAAAACAGATACTTTAGACCGATTATAAAATGTTGTTTATGAGAAAAATGTAATCTGACTCCATAAATCACATAATTGTTCGACTAAAAAACTACACTTCCACTAACAATAAATGAAGTTCCCCTTTAAACACATCCCCGGTCTTCTGACGGGGTCTATCTATGTACTGGCTGGTAAATGTTGTGCCAGTCTCTGTCGCTCCGTCACTGTTCTCCCGCTAACAGTCACTCTCTAGTTCTGCTGGGTTCTTGTTGACTTCTTCACTGGTTTGAGACAAGCGACCCTATCGGAACACCTCCCTTTGTAGCCAGACTTCACCACAGCAGAATCAAGTTTCTGTTTTCAGGTCCCAACAGCTTCACGTCGGTTGTATCATCGCCCCTTGAACTGCAGTCGGTGTAAACAGGAGGACTTGGTAAGGATCCTCCGTGTGGTCGAGCACTAGGTTTCCGTCTTCATATTTTGGGTGGAAACCCCTCGTCTTGACCTCACTAGCTGTGTGGACACAATAGTTTTCTGTGTGGGGGAACAACATCACTTGTAATCTCTATCCTTCTCATAATTACAAAAATAGTCTGCTAAATGTTCTACTATGTTTTAATCTTCTACTACTCTGTGGATACTTTATGTGTAAATGCAATATGCTACTCACTATCTTTTAAATAACATTCAACCTCTCCCTCCTGTGGTGACAGATATGGCTCAATGTAGCTGGATTTCAAAATACCCTTGTGCCGAAGATGCATCACCTGGTGGTCTGACCCTCTGAGCTTCCTCGTTGTTGTGGTTGATACCAGGCTGTCAGTGGCATTTGGTTCATGTTTGGCACCCCTGTTCGTCTTTGACATCTCTGGGACCCCCTGCCTCCGTCGACATCATGGAAACCTCCCCTGGGGTAACTGCATGGAGGGCCGTTGTTTGGTGCAATGTTCTGCGGACACTCTCTGGACCAATGTGACATCTGTCCACATCTGAAGCAACCACCATTCTGGACACCTCTTCCTCTGCCTCTTCCTTTTCATCGGAAACATCCTCCTCTTTGTTGATTCTGTATCTGATTGTCTGGCACTTCCTGAGCTTGAACTGTTGGCGGTGTCTGCACTACGGTCTCTGTTAGTATGGCCTTCTCTGGTTCTATGGCCATCTCTGATGTAGCTGCCATTTGCCTTGCCACTTTCTTGTTTTTATTAGTTTCGGTATCTTCCTCAGCTATTTGTATCTTCAAGAGTCTCAGTTGTAGTGCTTCCATTTCTGTCTTTTACTTGGAAAGGTTAAAGCATCTGATCTGATTTTTACCCTTTCCTTGATATCTGCAGTTGAGCCTGACTCTGCGTCTGGTCTCAACTTAGTTTCTTTCGGAAACATGCTCTCTTCCTATTCGAATGAATATTATTAAGTTATCAAAGATTTAAACACTAATCCTCCGACTAGCACCTTCGTTCCTGATAAATAATATCCTATGTCATCCGAACTTAACTTTAAATCTGGGTTCTTTTTTTAAAATTGTTTTTGAAGTTAAAGTTGTTTTGTTTTTTTCAAGTTTAATATTTTTTTTTAAATTAGGATTTAATTTGTTTATTAAACAATTCATAAAGTAAGTTAAAAGATTAAAAAAAATGCACATTTTAAAATCAGAAATGTTAAAAATAAAAATTGTACAGTGTATGGTTTTGACTTTTGAAATATGAAAATAGAAATCTGGTGAAAATCTAAATCTAGTGTGTACTGTGTATGGGAAGTGTATGGTTTTATGCAAATATCATAACTTGTGTTAGCTTCAATACATTTGTGTTTGAATATTCTACAGTCTTGTTGGAAAGACTATTATGTAAAGTTTCATGTGTTCATGTATAACACTCAAAATTAAGCTTCAGAATGTTATAGTATCTTTCCCTAGAGGCGTTTCCTCTATCTGTGTAATAATTCTATATTACCAGCAGAGTGCGCCGTTGTAATTTCAAACTCAATCCACTAGGGATAGCTGTTGCAAAACTGACCTATTTAACAAGAAGAAGCTTATTTTCCTTAAAAATATCTTAAAAATGGGAAGAAAATTACACTATGGTTTAACAGCACAGCACATAACCGCCAAAACACATTTGCAAAAAGGAATATTTCAAAAACCGCCAATACACACTTGCAAGCAGGAAAACTTCCAAACTCAGATTTGGTTTATAGGAAATACAATACTTCCCTACAAATACCAAACTTCCAACGGTAAGATAACCTGACTATTTTCTAGTTCCAACTCTGCCAAGAAATATGATTTGTCCTTCTCAAGATGGAGTGCCTAGCCTCATGTGAGTGGTACTGGGTGTATTAAAACAGAGTACTTTCAATTAGCATTTCACGAAATGGCGACTGCCGTGTGTCTGTTAATCAAGATGTGATGTAAACAAGATGGCACCCGTTTATTTCAAACTCTGACCTGTGGACAAAGAGATTTGAAAGTAGACTATGTGGCTCTCAGAGAGGAGTTTAAACAATGGTGGGGTGATCTTTAAACAAACTGTAACAAAGGAAACCACTGGTGTGGTATTCTAAAACCTGAAATACAAGCCAAAACAACACTTAGTTTAAAATAATAACATTTCTATCTAGTTTACTATGAAAAATGGGCTTTATCTTATTGATATCATCACTTAAAGAGCCTGTGACAGCCACCCAACAACTGTTGTGCAATGAAATATTGGGCTACTAGTAATCTCGAACCGTCAGTTTAAAAAAGAAAAAGCGATACCGTTCCGATAAATATCAATAATTTCGAGGTTTTGGGGGAAGCCGGAAGTGAAATGAATGCGGGAACGCTTCACTGTGCGGCGTGAGATCCAAACACGGACAAAGTGTGTTGTCATATGTAAGAATGGTTCGACGATGCGTTGTGTCTGGGTGTTCCAATACAGCAAATGACGAACTAAACATCAGCATCCATAGCTTTCCCACAGATGTCAAGCATCAGCGCACATGGGAGAAAAACGTGCAGAACACAACGCTTTCTGCCCGATGATTTTGAGGAAGGGCCTATATTGATGGTTGGAAGTGGGATAGATGTAACGCGAAAACGGATTCTGAAGCCGTCAGCAGTGCCTACTCTCTTTCCCACGCCGTCGCAAATCCGTCAAGGCACCGGAGACTTTGCCACCGCCACCCCCCCAGCAAAACGCCACAGAAGTGCCTACTTCGACAAACGAGAGAAAACTCAGGTAAAAACAAATACTTTGGCCGCGATTCAGTTTAGCAATCGTGTAACTTGAATAATTCCTGATGTAATAATTGTAATGTAAATGTCACCCTTGTGCTTGTAGGTTTTGGATTCTCTCCTAAAGCCACGGTTGACAGCTGATGGTGCATCAGCTGCACATACTTCAACTGCATGCAGTGATGCATCAGATAATCCCATGCAAGAGACGCCAGGCACTATGACCTCTGCTTGCCAAACTGATCCAGTAAAGGAGAAGAAAAAGCCAAAGAGGAGCAAAGGGGTTCAAACTAAGCCGCGAGAAAAGACAACAGGTCAGTTATTATTATCAGTCATTATCAGTTACAAAATTAAGTGCATATGTTGTCTCTGCATTGTACAATCCCTCTGCACTATGATGCCTCATCGAGAACCAAGTTATATTCATTCTGTTCCTGTCCCTCTATTATAATACCACCTACATTATATGATTTTCTTGGTGCAGGCAAGGTCTTATAATGGAGGGACCACTCACCAGTGTAATCCAATTATGCATATACATATATACTACAAAGCATATAAAGTTTATAAATCAAAGGAAGATGAATTTGGCAATGCATATGATTTATGTATTAAATACCGAGTCAAAATAATGGTTTTGGGAGGGAGGGGGTATGTAGATGATAACATAATTCAATAACAACATTTCCATCTCATAAAATCATACATGTACATGTATCACAGCATGTGAAGTTTCAATTTATATTGAACTATTAGGCGAAATATATGTGGACCCTGGCAAATAAGCCTAAAATGCAAGTGGCTTCATTTTCCAAAATAAGTCACACTCTAGTACTTTCCATATAATCTGCACATGCTTGTATTGCTGTAAACTGGACTGTCTATTACCTTCTTGCAAAATATTACTGGTATGGTTTGATGATTGGTTTTTCATATCATAATTCATATTTGGAAATCTCTTTTCAGGGACTCCAATAGAGAGGAAGCTGTTCCAAGACACTGGCAGTCAATGCAACATAATTCCCACCGCAAAGAAAGAGGTATCACCTCCACCATTATCATCATCATCATCATCATCATCATCATCATCATCTCCATCTCCACCTTCATCACCAGGATATCATCCACCTTCGTCACCTGACCTTTCATCATCAGAAGATGACTACCAGAAGAACAGTGAGCCGGATATGGATGAGCCTGTCACACCCATCCACAAGGAGAAGAAGTTTATTGTCTTCATGACTTGCCTCACGAGGTTGCTCAGCTGGTGCCACTGCCCCGACTGTGGTTCAGTTGACATTTCCACATGCCACAATGTCATTGGCTCACTCCTAGTCATTACGTTGTCATATGCATCTTGCTTCAAGAAAGTGACATGGAACAGCCAACCCTACATCGGCAGCACACCAGCGGGCAACATTCTCTAGTCCACTTCAATTTTGTTGGCAGGTGTCACTGCAGGAAAGGTTCTGCGGGTTATGAGAACCATGGCATTGGCGACCATATCTTCACGGACGTATTTCCGGCACCAGAGAAGTGTTTTGTTGCCAGTTGTCCAGCGAGTATGGAACATGAGACAGACATTCTTGCTTGGCACATTTCAGGCAGAGGGAAGAGACCTGGTCCTTGGAGGTGATGGCCGGGCTGATAGCCCGGGACATTGTGCAAAGTTTGGGAGTTACACCATGTTGGAGCTGCATGCCAATGTAGTAATAGATATTCAGCTAGTCCAGGTGGGTTACCGGTATCTGAAGAAGTTTATGAGCAGGGTTGAAATCAATTGACTGATATATTTTGTATATGCAAAACACTGATATTAAGTGTATTTTTTAAATATCTATTATTACATTTGTTGACATTTTTGCAAATAAATAGTGTAAAGGAATATTTTAGTCTTGTTAAAGTTTATAGAATTTAGTGACTTGTCCTCGGGAATCTGTTTCTGGTTAAAGTGTTTTCCTCCTCACTGAAATGTGATCCTGCGCGTAATACTCAGGAGGACAGATCAAGAGGTCCTTTGACTTACTGTGTGGGTGAGGGGTTTGGGGCACTTAAGGAGGGGCAATATATGCAGTCTTTGTCCTTGGTGTCTGGTAATGATTAGGGGAAAGGGCGGGCTGTTTAGACCCCTCCTTTAAAAGATATATAGAGATGTTTCTGTCTTTGGTGTTTAGAGTTTGCTGGTATCTTACATGAGAATTGTGATATACTGTGATCTCTCCGGCCGTACGAATCCTCAATAAATATCAGTGTATTGACTAAGGCGAATCCAGTTTCCCTCATTTCATGATTGGCTCAACATTGCTGCAAAGAAGTTTTTACTTCACAATTAGCTAATGGTGTGGCCAACTCAAACCAGCTGCATTGGACATATGGACAAAATAGATATAGAATAAAACCACAGCTAGGTTTGCATAATTGTTTTTCTCGTGGTTTCCAATGATTCTATTTACAAAATGTCTAGGTGCTGTAATCCACAAATTAGTTTTAAATAATACAATTGTATATAACAATTTCATAATGAATTAAAATATATTAACTTAGGACAATAATTATTTAAAATTATTTAGTTTGGATTATTACATATTAAACCTGTTATATATTACATTTACTGCAGGTCTAAGTGTAGTTATATTTGCATTGTATACATTTGTCTAATACCTATGTATCTGTTTTCTGCTGTTTTAGAGCAATGAATGTGGTGGTAGCTACCATATGGAGAAAACTGGGTTGGAGCGCTCCCTGGCTCATCTTGAGCGGCAGGGACTTGCAGTTGGCACGATGGTCACCGACCGACACCGGCAAATAGTCAAGTGGCTCAGAGAGACCTACCCCCACATTGAGCACCTCTATGATATCTGGCATGTAGCAAAAGGTTTGTGTCAGCATTTGACATTTGACTAAGTGACATATACCTCGCTTGAGTAAACATTTCTTAGTATGTTTAGCACTTGGCTCTCTGAGCTCTCTTATATGTGATGGAATTCTTAACACACAGATATGATATAAATGTAGACACATGTAGGATTATAAATGCAATCATGTAATTGTTTTGTGGCTTGGTTATGTATTTGTAAAATAGATAAATATTTACTTTCTACATTGTATTTGCAGATACTGAACCTGATAAGTAGTGTAGTCTATACAGCTGTGCTAAGTTTATGAACATATTGATGTCCTTTAGATTTAAACTATTTATTTAATGCAAACATCTGTTTGTGCCTCTATATATTTCTAGGATTTTCCAAAAAACTGCTTGCGGTGTCAGGTGCTTCGCCAATGGATAAAGAGTGTGAGCAACCATATGTACTGGTGTGCGGTGTCGACCCCTTCTGGTCAAGGAGCCCAGATTGTTGCAAAATGGGAGTCGGTTGTGTCTCATGTAGAACATACACACAGGCCATGGAGACCTATTCCCGTCATGCATCCATGGCAGGCTGCAGGGGAGGGAGTCCCACAAGAAATGGCTGGAACCATGTGAGTGTTTTTTTCTCCCAAATGTAATATATAATTAGCATATACTATATACAAATCCTGAACTGTAAATATACATGGCTACACATTTTAAGTTACTGATAATGGATCAATATAATCAGTTGCCAGTAATCAGCAACAATTCTTTGTGCAGTCCCAAAACAGAAATTTTAGGGACCAAAGAAAATAAATATGAGGGATTTGTTTCTGTTAGGTTATATAATATAGGATCAAAGGTATCCAAAATGGCAAACAGTCGTATTAAAACAGGTTGTTGTATTTAAATACAACCTCATCATTTTGCAGTGGTATGTAAATATGATATATGCAAGTTTCCATAGGGTACATTTTTTAAAATCTTTTTCAGCATCCAAGGCAGCAGTCAAATTGGAGACGCTGGTGTGCAACAAAACCCTGTGTAACGACATTTTGAAGCTATCTGGGGGCTCCCAAACATCAGCAGTGGAGCCTCCTTATCCAGTTTGCGCCGAAGATGTATGTCTTCTCTTACACAGGAATGCTTTGTCGGTAAGTTTATCACCATTGATCCGGCTTGCAGTGTTTTAAAAATAACCATGAGGTCTAGCAATAATACATATTTTATATGAAGTAGCCCTTGAGAAACTTAATTGACAATAGGCTGGATTGAAATGAAATATCAAAGTATTTTGCAAATGTATGTTAAATTCTGTTTCAAAAGTAACACAGGTACACATGCTTATAACAATTGTAAAAAAAAATCAGGAAGCCCCCCCCCTCCCAGTTTGTATGAATCCCAGTAATAAACAAATATTAAGACATAATTATGCTCCAATTCTTATTGCAGGATACTGATTGCAGCCCTCCACTTCAATGAAAATGCCAACCGGGTGCAAGGCGTGACAAAGACTGGGGAAGCCATGTATAGCATCAAGTACCCAAAGGGTAGAAAGGGAGCAGCAGTGCTTCGCAGAGTGTTGGAAAGCAGAGATGGGGACTCGAGTCTGTGACTCGGACTCGAGTCGCACTTAAGTCGCACACACAGAGACTTCAGACTTGACTTGGACTCCTGCTCAAAAGACTTCGGACTCGACTTGGACTCGTGTTTTGGGACTCGTGAACAATCATTGTGTTTTCTATTTTTGGCGTATTAAAGGTGGGGTAGGTAAGTTTGAGAAACCGTCTCGAGATCGCTAGAATTTGAAAATACACAACCGGAGAAAATCTGCCACTTCCTCACAGAGCCCCTCCTCCAACACACACGAACGCGCACATGACCAATGAGGGCACGAGATAAGTTTGTGCCCCGATGGGAGGCTGACAGGCAGGTAGGCCATCCAGTTATTTTAGCCGGGCCGGCTATCGGGATGTTAAGAGCATTCCATGGAATATAACAAAAAGTGTATCTCGAGCCGGTCTCTCAAACTTACCTACCCCACCTTTAACATTAACATTAACATCATGGTAACACCATGGCGACCGGCGGCACACCTGCAGCTGTACCGCTTGTAATTAGGTTCAACTATAAAAACTTCTAACAAAACGCCGGCGGCACCAACAAAAGGAGCGCACACTGCAAAGTCTGCAATATTAAAATCAAGGATGCTGGTGCAACAACGTCAAATGTCATCAGGCACTTGAAAACTCACCCGGAGAGGTCAGTCACATTAACGCATATGGACGGTTAGCAAACATGTTTAGCTCAGCATCAGCTATGTAATGTTAACTTAGCTTGCTACTAGCTTTGTAACTGAATATTTGAAAAGATGAGTGAATGTTTGCTTGTCACACTTGTTTGCGTTGAGTGGCGTTGACATCCAACTCTTGACATGACAAAAAAAAGGTCGGTAACGTTAATCATTACGTTCCGCTGCCACCATCTACTGGCTAACGTTAAACGTAGAAAAATACATAGTTACATACATAAATACATCTGTCGGTTTATAGGCAGGTTACAGGTTTATTGTTGACCACGTAACGTTAATGTTACAGGTTTATCAGGTTACCATTACACTGGGTTTGAGTGAGAGGATAGAGGAATATGTTTATTTATAGTAGACTTAAAAGATGTCATTAGAGACCCAGTGTAATTAAACAATACGGTTGCAGAGGTCACATTTTAACATTTTTGCCCACTGGCCAAATGGCTAGCCTAGTGAATGTTGAAATTGTACCAGCCACTCAATAGATTGCCATTGTTATTTTTGGCTGGTGCGTGCAACATACAGTCCCAGCCACTTGCATGATTTACCAGCATTTGGCTGGTAAATGGTGTTAATGGTAGATATCTCTTTTGGAACAGGTCATGTTTTAATATCACCAGTTCAGTATATTTCAGATAATATTGCAGCAATAGTTTTTTAGTTGCAAATGGCGCAGAACAAATGTTTACTTTTAAGTACTTTTAACACAGTTTCCCTTCGGGGGATTAATAAAGTATTTGTGATACTGATTTCTGATTCTGAAGTGTTTTGCTTATAAGTTGTTTGCATTTAGCTAAAGTGTGATGTTTTTCCTCATATTGCATTGCAATAGCCTGTTTAAAGTGATCATATAACAAACAACTAATCAGTACTGATACTGTATGCTAATAGATATAGGAGTGATAATAATACAGTAAATGCTTTGAATTTCTTAGATATAGCTGTGCAGTATTCTTAACAGACTGGATAGCAGCAGGAGACTTTTATTTTTTAGAGACTTGAGACTTGACTTGGACTCGTGACCAAAGACTTGAGACTTGATCAAGTCTCACCCCACAAAGACTTGAGACTTGACTTGGACTCGTGACCAAAGACTTGAGACTTGACTTGGACTTGCAAAAAAAGACTTGTGAACATCTCTGTTGGAAAGTCCAACCTATGGTGAGTGAAATTTGTAATAATGTAATAAAGAAAAAGTAAAGACAACATGATGTGGTTGCCATGCACATTGTATCAGTGACATTCTGTAACATACAACCTTGTAACATTACCAATTCCTTCCTCAGACAGAGATAATTCATTAAGGCATTTGTGCATTTAGTAAGGTTTGCACAGTGATGGGCATGACTATTGTGAAGTGACGCAAGAATCAATTACAAAATTGCAACAGCATGTCTTGAACTATTTCAATTGGCACTTGCAGAATATGCCCAAGAACTTCTGGCAGAAGTAGTGAAGGAGTGCACAGACCAGTGGCGTTTTCTCCCGGAGGCCAAGGGAAGCCAGGCTTCCCCTGTTTTTTCGGATTGTAGTTATAATTTAAATAAATAAATAAAAACACTTTGTTTTGTTTCGATAATTCTCCTTTGCTGTGTGTTGCTGCCGGCCCGTCTCTCCCCCATTCTCAGAGTATTTTACAAAGAGTGAAACAAACAGCGCCCCTCTAGATGTTATGGTGAAACAGTAGATTGCACTCACTGTTGCGAGAGGAGGCCAGCCGAATCTGGCTTCCCTTGGTGAAAAAAAATGGAGGGATTGACCAATCAGATGAGGCTCACATGATGCCCCTGCCAACCTGTGATTGGTCAGGGCCATGCCAAGGGAAGCCAGAGGCGGCTGGCTTCCCTTGCCTCACAATCCAATCAAATCGCATCAACTTAGTGTTGCAGTGATGCGTCCTAAAATCCGGAAGTAAGCTGCGCTCGGTTTCCCTCGACAAAAAAGCAATGGGATTTCTCCATAGGATTTAGGAAAATAGCTCGAAATAAGGTCAGTGGAAAACGAACCTGTTAGATAAATGCAAGTTTTGTTCAGTCGGATAATATCCACATGTCTACCCTACTTTTATAATTTTCGAATCATAAATCTAATCGATAGAAGATAGATAGCGCCACTGCACCACTCTCACCGCCGTTAGAAAGTAGCAAGCAACTGAAGCAAGTGCAATTATGGAGGGTGGAGATTTGGAGTATTTCATCAAAAATAATTGTACTAAACTTCCGCTACAGCAGCAACAACAACAAATACAATCTGATGACAGGCCAATGCCCAAACTGGAGCTGTGTACAGCGAGGAAAAAAGGAGCGAATCGGACGTAAAACGTTAAAGGTCTCCTGATTTAGTTTGTGAATGAATGCTTATTAGAGTTTCAGCTGGAGAGTGTGTGCGGACCTGTCGGTTAGATAACAGGCATGTGTAAGTCCTGCATCCGATACAAATGTGTGTAAAATGATACCGGGTGCTGTAATCACTCATCTGGTTACGTTATTACATTGACCACCAGACCCCCGACCCAAAAGAAAGGACGTATTATTGGCTTCCCCTAATTTTTTTCCCACGCCACGCTACTGGCACAGACAAGGAGAATGTTGAGGCAGAGTTTGCAGTGGAACCAGTGATTGTGCCACCCCCACTTTATGCCGAGTTCCCACATCCCGAGAAAGCAGACTTTGTGAAGCAACACCTAAGTCGCTTCAAGAAATAAATTAGGTTCATCAGGTTCTGGCTGGGGCTCTTGAAATCCCTGGCAGTCGGGGGATGGGAAGGTATCACGGATCTTCACCACGACACAGGCAGGCAGTGGTACCCTGATTTGCTTGCCGAGGTATCCCCAGCACCATCGTACCAATTGGCGGTAGGCAGTGTAGCGTCGACGTCTGTAGGGAAAAACATAAGGAGAGTGAGTTATTAGCTTTAATATGCATCATACATTACGAAATGTAAGATGTTCATATCTGTATAATAGTTTTGTGATGTGTGTTACGTGCCGTAGTGGGTGCTGTTGTTTGTTTGTGTGTGTGTGTATCTCTCTCTCCCTGATTGTCTCCAGGTGCAGCCTCTCCCCCAGGTGCTCCCAATCACCAATCAGGACCTCCATAAAGGACCTGAGGAAGGCTGCAGTGGCCTGCTCCCCTTCTCCTCTGGCTGCATGTGTGCAGCATGGTCTCTGTGTGAGGCCTAGTTTAATGTGTGTGTTGCTCATTGTTAGGAGATGTGCTCCAGTGTACCTTGTTTAATGTAGTCACTTTCTGTTTAAAGAAAGTTGTTATAGTTTATTTTGCAAGTTGGCTGGTGAGTCCTTTCTCTTTGTTTAATTACAAGTCCATCTTGTGGCTTCACAAACCGGTTTCCTCTCCTTTTTCTCTTGCCCGGTTGTTTTTGTGTTTTGTTACTTCTCTTTGGTTCCCCTAGTCCAGTAAGGAACGTAACATGTGGCAAATCTAATAAGTACTATGGCAAATGCTCACAAAAGTGACAGTGAAATATGTCTGTTACCACTTGAAGTAGTAATGTTTCAGTGGGCAAGCTAAAATCTGTAGTGGTATTGTCATCAGTGTACATGGTCGCCTACTTGCATCAATATGGTATGAACAGTGTATAGTGTTTGCACATCAGAAGTTTAATTTGTTGTCAGATTATACATACTCGTGTGGAGATTTGTTGAGGTGGCCATGGTTCTGCTTGTAGTATGAATAGGCCACGTCCAGCGCATATTCATTTAGGCAGACTGCCTCAAATCCAGGGTGCTGTGTGATGCAGGATCCCCCATGGTTGCCTGGACCTTTGCCAGCTCTCTGCAGCATACACACTCCTGTACTGTTTCCAGGTTGTCTGCTCTGCAGCATCCACATGTGCACCTTGAAAACAACAGTTGTATTTTTAGAAATGCTGCATGAATTGTAATAAACATCAGTACAATGTGGTATATATTGTGTGTGATAAAAATCATTGTAAACATGATTCATCACATATTTGCTGTTTGTAATCTACCACATCTTTATTTTATTAACATGCAGTAGTTAATAGGAAGCCAACAATTAATTGTTGCCTAATGGAATATATTTTACTCCAGAAGCTATAGATTTTCAGGGGAAATATAATTATTATGCACAATTTGTAGACCACCCCATTCAACCCCATTGGCTCCGTAAATAAAATAGTTTACAAACCATTCCACATTGTTCAGGCGTTGTAGATCGAGAGGTATCTGGCGATCGTCGGGTGGGTTGTCATCTCCACTGTCCGACTCAGAGTTTGTTTCACCCGATTCAGAGGCATATGGTTCGAATTGGTAGGGCATATAGCCAATATCGTCTACAATGTCATCATGAGTATCACTTTCCGATCCTTCAGCCTCATATGAGCTCTCAGACACGTTCAAAATTAAACTGTCATCGCTGTCTGAGCTTGCTGCCGTGTGCGCCATCGTGCGTTTGCAT